GGGGAAATTCACAAAGCGTCATTCCTAATAGATGCGTCATACCCACCCCCCCCCCCCTCCAATACCAACAACACCAACACCACCACAAAAAAAAAAAGAAGAGAAAAACAGCACGACACATCCTCTTCTCTTCATGGTGCCAGGCAGCCCTGCAAGTACCTGAGTGAATGAATGGCGCTGTCAATTCACAGAGCGTTCAGTAACACTTAACATCCATCTGTCAGACTCTCCCTGAGCCGAGAGCTAAAACGCACTGGCTGTTTCATTTATTTATACTGCATGTTAATTCTATTGCTTAGTCATTTGTCATCATTCTTGACTGGCACACTGAAAATCCATTACGGGTGCATACAGGTGCAAAACACCACACCTCTCCGTGTGGCTCAGTGGCTCTCTTCCTGCTATATTACTACCGATTTAGATCTTGAGGTCCTTCCCTTGAATTCAGTCCGATCTTCTCCTTTACTTTGCCACCTTTTCTTCATATTCTTCTTCCTTCTTTTTCATGAGGACTGGACAGTTTGGAGGAAATGCAGGGGACAATTCTTCTGGTAAAAGGCGAGGGGCCCTTCACTGGGCTCCAGTGTTTTCGGGTCCAAACACCTGATTGAACTCGCTGAGAATGAGCTCCACAGCCTGGTTTTGGTACACCATGTTGACGGCCATGTTGATGGTGTCTCGTTCCGGCCGCATCAGCGTGGGCCCAAAGACGATGCCGATGTTCTGGGTTGTCATGCGGTTTGTGTCTGAATGCTCCATCACTCTGAGCATCAGAGAGATTGAAAGAGAAAGACAGCAAAGCACAGAAAGGTTAAAAGGGACACATTCCTTCTGTTACCACCAGCTCCTCTATGGGCAAGATGTGCACGAATCTGTAGTTATTTGATGCTTTTAACCAAACTGACTTGCAATAATAGGCTCTGTGTTTCACTCTGGGAACAACAGCAGGCCACCACATGCAACATGAACTGGTCACACATTGTTAACCAGTACACCCCCTTCTGGCCATTCTTAGATAGCGAGGAAATTGTAATGTTTATAAAGAAAGTAGCAGTCAGGGGTCTTCAGTGATGTCAGGACCTTAACGCACTGGGATTCAAGTTGCTGTATTCATAGCCGAAGGAATATGTCAACCAGGGATCACACACAGTTTCAGCATAAAAGCCCGCGTGCGTCGTGAAGCCACACCCTCTGTGAGCATTCCGTCCTCTACCAGTCTGCAAATGGCAGTGCTGGCCGGGCCCGTTTCTCTTCCCGCATTTTTTCCCCCTCTCTTTTTTCGTGGGACCAGCGATGGGTTAAAGCGAAGGGGATGAGGCACTCGGCTAAAAATGCCATTCCCACAGAGCCACAGAGGCAGCCAGTCGAGCGGTTCAAAACTTCCACATTAAAAAAAAAAAAAAGGAGAGCGGGGAAAAAATGAAGAGGAAAGGGAAGAAAGGAGAGCGGGAGAGAGGTTCCAGCAGGGGCGGCGGCGGGACGCTGCAGCTTCCAGCAGACGAGCCACAGCCATCCCATGGGGCGGGCGAGAGAGAGAGAGAGAGAGAAGGAGGGGTGCTCTGGGATGGGGGAGACCCAGGGGTAGAGATGGGAAAATGAGAAACAGAGAGGCAGAGGCACCAACGCAGAGGAGAACAAGGCAGACAAGCTCTCTACCGCAAACCACGTAACAGCACAACTCGCTGACGCTCTGCTTGGTTTTTTTCTTAATTTTCTGCTGCAGTCTGTAACAGGTTTTATCTTGTGATCTGTTTCTTCCTCTTTTTCTTAAGTGCTGTATTCATTCACCTGCGCGACTCTGCACCCTGTTGTCCCGCTCTTAGCTAATCCAGCACATGTAGAACTTCTCATCCCGCGCAGCACCGGTGGTTTGACGAAACACTTCCCTCTTGTGGACACTCCAGGTATTGCAATTTAGTATAACCTAATAGTTGATCATGTTTCTAAAGCTCAGCGATGCTTCACCCATTTTGGCGGCAACTACTACCCCACCCCCACCCCTCTTAAGTTTATGTATGATACACAACTGACTTCAAATAAGGGCTTCAGAATAACAGCTGGTGATTAAGATTTATTCATATAATGCACAGTTACGAGTGTAAACTCCTTAATATTCTCCCACAGCCTGCATTTCTTCAGTGATTTATGACCGATGCAAAAATGCTTAAGTTTCTCATCCAACCCAATAGCTGCTCAGACTGCAAATGCAAAAACTGGCTGTAACCGCAAAACAGGGGCAGCATGCGACGCTATGCATCATTTCAACCACGGACGATTGAGTCGGCCTGCGATTAAAATATTGGGTCTAAGGTTAAAATGCACAATTTGAAATAATTCTCCGCATAGTATGCCAAAACCAAAACCATAACCCAATTTACAAAACAAAGGTGAGCTGCAGCTTCCCTACATTTTCTCCATTGATGACGCACTTCGGTGCCTGCAGCTCCTACGTTATTTCATTATGCAAACTACAATCCCTCCAGCGGCACTCAGTGACTTTACAGTTCCAAGATTACTCAAAACGAAGGCGGAATGACATGGATTCTCTTCTCCTCCAGGCCAAGTTTTTGTTTTATGACGTGCTGCTTTCACGTACAGATTTATGGCCTGGAAACGAAATAACCTTTATCTCTGTCCGCGGTTAAATGGAAACGCCTGCCGTCAAATTCAAACCTTAAGAAAACCCTTTGCAGACAGTTTTCTTGCTCTACATTATACAGTAACCCCCCCCTCCCCCACACACACACAGCCCACCCCCTTGCTCCTACCTTCTCAGGTGCTGGAACATGAAGTGCATAGTGTTCTGGTTGGACGGCGGCATGTTGTGAACCAGGCATTTCAAGCGATCCACTTTCTCCTGGTAGTCTGGTATCTCTAAAGCACAGGAGGAGATTAAGGTCAGCTTTCCCTCAACACCCAAGGTCTTTCAAGTACAGGGGTGTCAAACTCCAGTCCTGGGGGGCCGGAGACCTGCACGTTTTTGGGCTTCCCCTCATTTAATACACCTGATTCAACTCCTCGCAACTCCTTGTGCTAATTACCACACAGCTCTTGAGCTGAATCCTTTGTGGTGGAACAGGGAAAGAACTAAGCTACAAAACAGGGCTGCGGCCCCCCAGGACTGGAGTTTGACACCCATATTCTAGAACGTTCTTCCCAGCACCAGGGTGTTAAATAGCAGAGCTTATGTTTTTTGTGCTCTAGCAAAGCACTTGGCTAATTATTCTTCTTTTCTGGCTATCAAATTTGCAATTTTAATATTTACTGCTTCACTGTCATCCCCAGTGCACCACCTCAGCACTGTCCACTGTATCATAGCCCTCTCACTCACTGACTGCCTCAACGAAGTCCGTAAAGAGGCTGTAGGGGACCAACGGTTCTGGAAGCTCCCGAAAGAAGAGCTTAAGGGCACCAGTGATGACATGAATGTCCTCCCACTGGTTGTGGTCCAGGTTCAGCTTCTCCTCTGCAGCGGAGGGGTAGTGTGGCACAGGAGGGTTTAAGGGGGCATGGAGAGGGGGTGATGGATGGTGAGAGAATAAGCCAGAGAGATAAAGAATTTTAGGGTTTGGAGGCAGGTGTGGAGAAGAGAACAGAATCAATATGGTTGAATAAAATGTACGAATAAAATGATTCCGATAGCAGGACACACAAAATGGCAGCATACATGCACAGCAGCAATGCAGGCTGACACAAAGAGAGCATGCAGGCTTTCTTGGTGATTCTCCGTCTCCGTTTGACTAAAGCACACCAGCTCTACAGTTCTGTAATACACAAATCAGGCACATGCAGGGAGGGGTGGGGGGGGGCAACTGCCCCTTTTGGACGAACAAATGAAAGTGTCACCGCTCTGATGTTCCAGGTGCCCGTTCTCGATAATTGATGATAATGTAAAATCTGTGCCGCCCCCCACCCCCCACATGGTATAGAGGGGATACCCCCACCCTCCGACACTGCTAAAATTTACCCAGAAAGCAAAAAGGGGGCAGTGTGTGGCTCAGTGGGCTAAACCTGTGTGCCTGTAACCAGAAGGTCACTGGTTCAAACCCAACACTAGGCACTGCTACGGGTGGCTCTACAAAGAGCAAGTTGAGGGAGGCATAAAAAGAGAATCAATAAAAAGTATCTATTATTATTAAACTTACCAGTCTGAGCACATGCCCCTATAAGTCATCCTCATCAATTTAAAACCTAGAACCACATCAGCCATCATTTTGGTGGATAAATTAACTTGATAGTTCAGTCCAGTGCTCAGTTACATTTACGACGCTACATAGCTGATCCTGTTGTAACCATTTGCTATTTTTTTGTGAATGGTCAAAACACTTCTATAAGTGTTCCAATGGTAGTGGATTATAAGTAGTTTAAAAGCACACATGATGATTAAGGGAGCTAATTATTTGTAGTTTATGCCATTTTTCCTACAATAGTGAGCATTTCTCATACCAAGGTGGACCCCAAATTCCTGGGCTGCTTTTTGTTCCCCCTGGCAAATCCTGAGTACTTCTGTTAAGCGCATGCAGTACTACTCATGGCCACAAGATGCCCCCAGAGTAACGTACAAAACGATTTCGCAAAACGCGTGGAACAGTCATTGGGTCGCCATAGTATTACGTCCTCGGATTCAATTCACACTTTAATTAACGTACATAAAATACCATTATGTGCAGAAATTGCTTTAAATCTATTTGCTTATCTTCTTTTCAATTATGCCATAAAATTATTTAAATCGAAAGTTTATATGTCATTTTGTTAGATAACAATCAGACTTGACCAAAAAGACAGACTTATTTCATCATTTAGAATCCCACAAGTTAATTGAGCCATTTAGTTTGGGTGAATTCTTCCAATGTGTGAATGGCTCCTTCGAAAATCTTAACAAATCTGGGCATTAACAAGCGCGCACCGACAACTGGAAGGCATAAAACGTTTTCCAACACAATTAGCTAAATAACATAATTTTGCGAAACACGTAAACCCGGCCGGGTTGAGCGGGTAGCGTTAGCGAGCGCTAAGCGGCATGCGCGGGACAGCGTGCGCGCGGCACGTGCGGCAGTGCAGCAAAGCTAAATGCTCCTTGTTCTCTCGCTCTTGCTTAGGCTCTCTGCCGCTACCTTGCGCCAACCCCTCAGGGAACAGAAATCGTCCATCGGTGCTCACTGCCCGCTCTGCAAGGACCAACAGGCGTTATGAAGGGTTGCCATGTCTGTTGGACTCCCCACTGGGAGTCAACATGGGGACAAACAGAATGTAACCCCTCAACTGACCCCCTGCAGTTCATTCTGCCCCCCCCCCTCACCATGATTCACAGTGAACCGCAGCTTCTGAATGACTGCCAAGTTCCCACTGACCCTGTAGATCCCATCCGTCTCCAGCCCTAAAACATACAAACGAAAAATCATGAAGGACATTCATCAAACGAAACATTGGTTTGAATCACAAACCGTCCACGTTGATCCCACTCAAAACCGATCACCAATGTCTCACCACCACCAGAGATGTGACTGACTCAGTTCAGCACTCCTGCAGACCACTCACTTTGTGAATTACCTATTTGAGTCAGAGTGGCAGGTAAAATGAACATTTAAAAATACCGCTGAATCATCTAAGGACCTGTATTTACCAGTCAAAAACTGATTCACCAGTTTCATTAAATATTTAATATCATTCATTCATTCATCTTCTGTCAAAATATCTGTAAATATATCTTACTCCAAAGTGCACTTCAAGAAATCTTCAAAGCATGAACACAATGGGTGTTTCTCAACACCAAGAATACAAAGAACATACTTGTGTTCTTGGCAACAACATTCTTGCTAACTTGTCTTCCAAAAATAAACTGGGGATGCAATGAATCATAAAATTGTTCTCATTGGTAAGGATGCAAATGCATCCTTGATATTTGGGTCTGGGCAAGAATGACATTCAGGGATATTTACCACCTTCCTTACTTGTGTTTTTGAGTACTGGAACCACACTTTGGCCATGGATGATGACATCAAATGCTTATGCGAGAACACAAGAACAGGCAAGTATGCATATTGATAAACACCCAATGTTAAATTAAGATTCTTAAGTGTACGATATGGAACGTATTGCAGATCATCATTGATACTGTTAATATCTTGCATGCATTTCTGCATATTTGTGAATAAATTGAAGGTATCTGTTAGTGCATTACAGATGTGTTTTTAAGAAGACTCGAAGATGCCTTAAGCTCATCTGAACACAAAATTCCTGCAAATACTGGACATATGTTGCAAATGCAGAAGTATATTATATCGAAGTAATTATATCCAATTATAAAAAAGTTATCTTGATTTATAGACAAGCAGAGTTAGACTGGCCATCTGGCATACTGGGCATTTTTCCAATGGACCAATGGGCATGTGGGCTGGCAAAATTTATAGAGGGGGACCCCTGGTCAACAAAGGCATATATTACCATGGGGGACCAGGGTCCCCAGCCCAGGGTGAATTTTCAATCCCAGCCCAACCCTACAGTTAGTCCATGTTAGCATATCTGTTGTAGGTTTAGCCAAATTGCTAATGATCCTGTGGTATTGGGTGTTAGTTTGTAGCTCATTGCACTAATTGCTAGGACCTTATGGGCCAAAGGAGGACCCACCTCTCCTCTCCACGGCCTCTGTGCACATTTTGACGAAGCGGGGCACTGTGGTCTTCTCTCTCTCACACAGCGTCTCCAGGCGGCACCCAAACACCTGATCTGTGTACAGAGACCGGGGGACACCAGGTGTGTTAGCGCAAACGTATTAGCGAGAACGCGTTAGCGAGAACGTGTTAGCTTGATGAATAGTAAGGCATCCGCCTGCCTCACCCTTAATGAGCCCCTTCTCCTGGAGAGTCTGTAGGGGGGGCCTCTTCTGGATGAACTTCCTCAGCCGGCTCTTCACCCGCTTTTTCTCTGAGGTCTCCAGGTTGGACACTGAGCGAGGCACTGTGTTTGAGGGGAGCAAAGAGACAGTTTCTGCTGGGAGTGGTCTATAGGAGGGAAAACGCTAAAAGATGCCGGGACCACCTCGGGCAGCAGCAGCGGGAGGGCGGTGGCTCTACCCCTTCTGAATTTCCAAACCGTATACAATAGGGTGGGGTGAAAAAAATCAAAATTTCCAATAGCAATTTCCAATAGTGCGGAAAAGTTGTCACTGGACCTCGTTATTAAACGTGCAAAATATCTTTGAAATAGGCTAATATTTTCAGGTTCAGCGACGCGATCGAAGTTCTCACCTGTTACATCTCACCTGTTTGTTTTTTTCACCTCACCCTAGTATACAAACAGTATTTCGAAAATTTGGTGAAAATGATGAAATAGATGAAATGTAATAATATTATGTACACAACGTGTTCCTATCAGTGACATTGATCCAATTCACTGAAGAACGTTCCTACCTGCCATTGGACTGTTTTGTGCTACTTGCTCACATACATATTTGTCTTCTTGCGAGTCCCATCCTGAGGACCTAAGGCAAAGCATCTATCTATCCATCCATCCATCTACCAACTGCTTATCCAGGGATGAGCCTGGAGCCCATCTCAGTTACTGGGCACGAGGCCGAGGAACACCATGGATGGAATAATGGTCCAGCAGAGGGCATACACACATGCTCACACTGTGGACAATTTTGAGATGCCAAATCTCAAAACTAGAGGTCTTTGGACTGCAGAAGGAAACCCTAGTCCAGGTTGGAACTGCAAACACGTGGAGCAAGAGTGGGATTAGAACCCATGACCATTGTAATCAGAGGTGTCACAGCACAGCTAATGCTACAATGCATTATTCCGTTGGTCCCCAGAACTGGAACTTAAAAACACTGATCAACAAAATCCTCAAATTTTGGAATCAGCTGCCCTAATATAACCATAATATAATATAATATATAATATAACCAGCCTTAAGTGGTTTGAGATGTTATACTGAGTGAAAGGGACCCTGCAATGTTGGCTGCTGTTGGAGTTGTCAGTGTGGATGTGACAATATGAGTGTACAACCAGGGTGTCCTGAAGTACTGGCCCGCAAGCCGGAGACTGTTCTATCCAGCCTGCAATGTGCTTTTTAATCATTGTTAAATCCGGTCCACTGATGGGTGTAATGTCAATCCACTCAGCAATGGTGATAAAACAGTACTGATTTTTTGACAAGTTTTAATGCCATATATAATTTTAAATATATAAAGAAATAAAAACCCTCAACCACAGCTTGAACCGAAGATCTCATAGGCAGCACCGATGTGACCCGGCCGGCAGGTGGTGATGGAAGCACGGTATTGTGGGTAGGAGAGCGAGGCTTACAGGAGGACTTGTGCCCGGATCGGCCTTCGTCCTCGTCCCCGCTCTGGTCCAGCATGTCCACACTGCTGGACCTCCGCAGAGAGTAGAGCAGCACATTGTCCAGGGGGTTCTCACGGTCCTGCAGTGAACAGCCAGCCAAGCAGTTCAGTTCATGTACACACACAAGCACACGCCCAAGTGTCAGAATCAACTGCCGACTCACCAGCCGGTCGATAACACTACGCAGGGTGTTAAACCACTCCATGATCACAGAATCCGTCTCTGACTGCAGCAGGAATTCATTCCCAGTGACTGTCCTTAACTGGAAGGAGAGGGAGGGGTTTGGAATTTTCTGTGAGCGTCCGTGCCAAAAAAAACAAACACCACCACCCCACCCCCCCGCACAGACAGAGCCGTGTACAACAACCCGCACATTCACTGCTGGTGGCATGGGGAGGAAGTGGTCAAGAATCGCTTAAGAAGTGATGAAACACAAAAACGGAGAAGGAAGACGAGATGCAGAGCGATGCAACAATGTGTGCCAGCCAGCAAGTGTTACACAAACTTTCCAATGCACAGACTGCCATCGAATCGCAAAACACGCAGAGCGTGCACCACACAGGGGGGGCCACCCCCCCGCATAGCGCTGAACCTGCTCGTCCTTTGAACCCAGGCTGAGCCCTCGTTATCGAGGGGGTCTTTTTGGTGCTGGGCCCCCCCACCATCTGTATTCAAAGGTACCCCAAAGCTTTTTCTAATTCTCTGACCCCTATGTATACAATAAACATCACACTAGGAACCCCCCTCCCCCCCAGTAGCTTTTAGGGGAAACCCCTTGTGTTCTGCACACTCATCATTTCAGGTTCTTTTCCACACCCCTGCCAGGCACCTGACCTGCCCTTATCACCAAATCAGTTTGTCCGGTTCCTCAGCATACCAAGCAACATTTACTGCATCGGCCAAGTATGTTTGTTGCTTCGCAGCTTCCTCCTTCTCTCTCTCTTTATCTCTACCAGCCTTCTTCCTTCCCGGTTCCTCTTACCCTGAAGACATTCTTCTTGCTGGACAGCTCGGTGGCCCAGTGCAGCTGAGCCCCACGTAGGTCCACACTGCTGTCTGGCTTGCTGTTCCCAGGCCTCTGCGTGAAAATCACCCCACAAAGGTCACAGGGATCCCCAGCAAGAGCACCCCCCCCCCCCCAAGTCCTAGGACAAATATATAAGCGTAGCTCTCAAGGTTTTACAGAAAACATCAGAAAGGAGAAACACGACACCCACAAAATCCCAAACACCGAAACATTCAGGGATTCGGGGCCACTGGGATTTTTCAGAACGACTCCACTGTGGAAATCGGAAATCTGACGACACGTGCTGGTTCAAAGTCTGTAACCGGTCCTGAACGCAGACGGAGGGACCGAGACTGGATCATATGAAGCACAAAGGGCTTTGTTCGCACCCACACCGTGTGCCCGGGGCCATCGGCGGGAGCACAGCTGATGTTTACATATCCGCACAGGGAAATGCCTGCGTGCGCACAGGGACAGGTCCCGACGATGACAGTTACTGCATTTCCCGGGCTGCCCCCAGGGCAAAAGCCAGGATGATTTTACCGCAAAAGGGCTGGTTCTGAGCCACCTGCTTTACCTGCGCATGGGACGGGGGCGGGGTGTTAGCTCGGCGGTTTTTAGTGTGGTGTGTTTATGATCAGATTGGCGATTCAAATCCCATGGTCACCAGCGTGATTTCACCATTGGGCCCTTCATCAACGCCCTTTAACCTTTTAATTTTATCTCCAGGGTCGGTCCAATATAGATACCAATTAAATGTGAATAGCTTCAGAGTATTGGTGAGTATTGCTCAGTATCTGTGAGTATAGTCTGTTATGATGTGTATGAGTATGATGATACACTGCCTTCCTGTGAGTGAGTCTGGGTCACTGCAGTGATGATTGGTAGCGATTATGAAAAGATGTTGTCAGCCTACCCAGCTGGAGGGTGTCTGAGACTTGGGGTCCTTGAAGAAGACCAGGCTGTTGCCCACCAGAACCACCCAAGAGGGGCTCCAGTTCTTTCTGGGAAGGGAGACAAGTAAGGAATAAAAGATTGATCTGTTACACACAGGAACACACAGACATACAGGCACACAGCAACACACACTGGCACACAGCAACACACACAGGGACACACACAGGGACACACACAGGGAGACACACAGGGAGACACACAGGGAGACACACAAGGAGACACACAGGGACACACTGATAAACAGTGACACATGGGGATATAGTGACTGCCCGGGACACACTGACAGACAGGGACAGACGGGGACACACTGACAGACGGGGACAGACGGGGACAGACGGGGACACACTGACAGACAGGGACACACTGACAGACAGGGTCAGACGGGGACAGACAGGGACACACTGACAGACAGGGACAGACTGACAGACGGGGACAGACAGGGACACACTGACAGATGGGGACAGACTGACAGACAGGGACACACTGACAGACGGGGACAGACTGACAGACGGGGACACACTGACAGACGGGGACACATGGAACATACCAATAAACAGGGAGACACGGGGACACACTCTATCTCAGATACCAAAGCCATAAGGTGGGGGATACCCGATACCCAGAAGGGCATGCCAGTCCATCACAGGGCACAGACAGACACACTCACACACTACAGGAAATGTAGTGACACAGATTAGCATAACTGCACATCTTTGGGCTGTAGGCGGACACCGACGTAACACGGGGAGAACATGCAAACTGCACACACAGAAGCAGAGGTGGGATTCAAATACCCTAACAAGGTATGAGGCAGCAGCGCCACCCACGGAGTGAGCCCTTGACGAGCCATCTCTCAGTGCAAATCAGTTACCTCACTGGGTTTAATGGTTGGATTGACTTTTATTCAGAGATTTTTTAAAACCAGCCTTCCGGGATGAAACTGACAACCTTGCAAAATCACTCTTTGAATGTTTCTCACACCGATTCCCTTATGCACATTTGGCAGTGGAAAGTAGGGCCGCATTTCTTATCCTTAGAGTTTGACAGGACTCCCGAAAACAGCTTGATGCAGCAAACTATTAAGCGGTGGGTAAGAATGGGATTTTTGGAGTTGTAATAGGTTTCTTGTTTTTGTAGCATATTAGACATCATGCATTGTTAATACCTTAAGACTTTCAACAAAACGTAAAAGACTATTTGTGATAAATAAAAACTATTTAGGTTCTCTGAAAAGCAATGGAAACCAAACTGAAAAACACTATAAAAACTGACACACAACACACAGGTACACACTGAGGGGCATAAGAGAGAGTTTGATATTGGGGCCTGGGGGTCACAACTTAATTTAAATGCAATAATCAGTTTTTTTGGGGTGGACAAATGAAGCCTAATTAAATATTGGGGGGTGCACATCCCCCCCATCCTCCCTAGTTCCTACTCCCCCTTTACACTAACCTTACACCCACGTTACATCACAACATAAACAGCATCCAAGCACCAATAAACAAGCACAAGCCTTCGGCACCAATGGAGTCCCGTTGTGACGAGTGCGCTGATTCCAGAGTGCGGAGGCTCACCTTAGCTTCCTGCCGCCTTCCGCGATCTTCGTCTTATTCAGCATCCCTGCTTTCTCCAGCTCCTGCAAGGATCAGAGGGCAGGGAGGCGCAGGGAGTCACTGCACAGTGCAAGCCGACCTGCTTTCATCTTTGCCCAAATGCAGGAGGGAGAGACAGTGGACTTTGAAGCAGGTTACTGTAGAAGATGAATGGGAGCCTCACCGGGGTGATGATGCTCCCAGAACCATCCACGCAGCTGTCCGGGGAGGGTTCATCTGCGTCCCTGCTGGTCACATGACCGGTCACATGATCTACACAGAACTGGCCCTGCAGAGAGGGGAGAGCGGGGTCATAAAAGGGAGGGACCACGCGGGGCGACTTCCTGTGAGAGACCTGGTGCCGGTTCGGGACGGGCGACTACCTTCGCATCCTGCAGCAAGGGCAGCGCCAACGGGCGGCTACCACTGGGCTGCCCTGTCCTCCCTGACAGGGCGAAAGGGTGCTGGGTGTCATCCAAGTTCCGGGAGGTGTCGCTGAGGCTGTCCGAGGAGGTGGCCCAGTTCATGTCCTGTGTGAAGGCATGTGGAGGGGGCAGCATTACACACAACAGCCACTTTCAATATTTCAGTCACTTTACTTATCCTCAAAAGGTTTCCCCATCGGTCCACCCAGAATCTGTTGACTGGCATTCTCTTTGGGAGGGGGACCCTGCCCTGGGAGTTCCTGAGGACCGGGTGATGAAGCACCGTGCTAGAGAAAGCATTTCCTTGCAGTCCTTCAGACCAGGAGTTTATCATGATGTAATTAACAGAACTCACATCTTGGACAACATCGACAAAATTCGGCCCAACAGGTGACTCTCAACAAATGCTAATATCCACTGCCCACCTGCCAGCGCTCAAACAGCAGCCCCTATAGACCCACAGAGACGGTCGGTCACCGGCTCCACAACAAGCAGATACGTGCTTCTGGGACTAGTCTGGACATTTCTTGCAGTCATTAAGTTTGTCATTTTTACGAGGGTTTAAGTCCTTTAAGGATATCCTTAACACACCATGAATTCACGACTTCCTTTAGACCTTCTGTGTAAAATCAGGTCAAGTCCAGACCGGAAATTCACAGTGCAGTTACGGATGCAACATATTCACGTCCATCTCTCACCCCTCCAAACATCTGTTAAAAATAAGTCACAATTTTCCTGTCTGTTTGAAAACAACCATAGTGACTGACAGATAAAGTCATCTAGTTTTTGTCGAGGGAAGAACCAATCAGATACTGATATCAGATATCGGTATCGAGTATCAATGACAATGGGGATTTATGGGACCGATCTATTCAGTTCTATGTCATTGTACGTTCATGTCCACCTGCACATACTACCTCTTGTGTCTGCAGTGTGCCAGTAGAGCAGTACATTTTGCTAGAAGGAGCTGTACAGTCAGCAATTTGGAAGTAGTTCATATGTGAAGTTGTTACGCCAACATGTTCTACAGCTGCTTGCAGTATCTGCAAAGTCAGTGTTTCAGTGGGTGGCGGTAACACTGGCAGTTATAACTCAGCTGACTTACAGTGGCTTTGATCACATACAGTTAAAATATTTAATAGTAGTAGGCTTGGGTGATACCTAATTTTTTATACTGTCCAGACATTACACCATAGCATACATTATTTTGATGGCTTTTTAAAAGCAATGCTATTCCAGTATTTTGAAATACCCAAGGATACAGTTCAGCTGCAAGGAAATACCGCAGTATGCCGTTACCGTTACTTTGTCCAAGCCTAAGCAGCAGCCGTACTGCACTAATAAGTGTGTTTTTGGTTCGTCTTCATGAAAATAATGTCTTCAGTTACGAAGGTGTATGCCAAATGTGCGGTATCTGTGGTATAAGTGGACTGATGTACTCCAAACTTTGCATCATACAAGTGATTCTTAGGAAATGGGATACAAACTGACATCACTGCAGGATATCTTTGTACCAGATCGAAACACAATGACTAATATTTTCTGCCAAGTGTATTAAAATATGACAAAGCAGGTCGGGAAATGCGACAGGAATCGGCGGTGATTTAGGCGGTGACTCAGATGTGCCAGTGAGGTGATGCACTTGTTGGAAATACCTCTGATGTACAACCCCCCCCCCCAAAAGAAAAATAGACCTTTTTTTTTTCTCCAGGAAACAATTACCTGCTAGCAGGCAACCGCTCTGCTGACCGATAGTCAGCATTAATCACCTGATTAGTGGATGAAAATAGCATTTTAAAATCAGATCATTGTATTTGACTTCAACTGTGAAAAAGTACTGAGTATCAGCTGATACCCAAAGTCCAGGGCCGGTATGCATTAAGAATGGTCTTAAGAATGGTCGTACACTTGGACTTAAGAGTTAAAAAAAATCTTAGCAAATAGTGGGACCTAAGAGCATTGTATAAAGCTGCTATAAGTAACTTTCAGCAAAGTCTAAGCCCAATTCCTAAGTGCTGACGGAGCCAGCATTTAAGTGTCGTGAAATGAGGACTACAAATAAAATCCCGCCCCAAATACTGAGTTCAACCAATAGAGGAGCTGCACGGTGAATATATTAGTGACATTAAACCGTTAATGTAGAGCTTTATACAACATACCTTTAATTGGTTGTACGAAAATCTACCTAGCACATCACCAATCAATTTCCACTAATAGATGCACATGTATAAATTATGGGTCAAACGCAAAACTCATAGCAAGACATTGGATTCTAAAAGAAAACCAAACCGGACGAGAAACAAAACGGTTCTTTTGGCACAGTCGATGCTTAAATGGAAGGAGGTAGTGCGAGGAAAGTTTGGCCCAGCTGTTACAAGCACGGACAAAAAAAGCTTAGGAGGCTATTGCAAGCTCCGTAAATGCTGCGTCACCTCAGACAAGGCGTTCAGCAGAGGAATGTGAATAAAGGTGGTATAATGTTTTATAGACCTTGCCAAAGGAAATCACAGCTTATAAAGTAAGCATACAAGCTACAGGTTTGTGTCATTACTTATATTGCTCTTATGACCCTCGCTATAATAGATGATGATGATAATAATAATAATTATTATATTTTTCCAGTTGCTGAAAACGTAGCATCATTATAATAATAATAATGAACACTTTATTAATCCCTGTGAGGAAATTCTTTTTACGCCTCCCTCAACTTGCTCTTTGTAGAGCAAGCTGTCCGCAAAGGGCAGCCACCTGTAGTGGCGCCCAGGGAGCTGGGGGTTAAGGGCCTTGCTCAAGGACCCACAGACGTGCTGAGGCTGGGCTTGAACTGGCGACCTTGTGATTATAGGCACACGGCTTAGCCCACTGAGCCACACGCTGCCGCCAAAAAAATTTCTGGTAACCCCAGCTGCCAACACTCTCTTGCCGAGGTAACACGCTCTTTATTAGTAGTCCAGTCCAGAAAAGAACTACACCAGGCACCCAAAGAGCACCAAACATCACCTTCAGTTCAACTGTAAGTGCATTTTTAGGTGACGTAGGAGATTGTATCCGGTTCCTAATTAGGTTGGTAACAAAAAGAATGACCTCATGATCGAGCCTGTACCTTTTTTATCGATTCACTATTGTCGTACATCTGCAGGACGTCCTTTCTTTGACGGAAGTGCGCGGTCTCCGTCTTGGTGCGCGTAGTGCTGCTGCCATCATTCAACTCCTAACTGGCTTAGGAGTCCTCTCCAGCTCTCTTAAATAATTTAGGAGCTGAGACCAAGTCTTAACAATGTTTATGCATGCCACTTATTCTTAAGTCTGGGAGTAGGAGCAAAATCACGTCACTCTTAGAATTGTGACGCATTTAAGAATGAAAGTTTTATGCATACCGGCCCAGGTATCGGTAATTGCTATTGGATCGGTGCAACCCTAAGTGATAATGTAGTATATATAGAGAAAAACACACAATTTAAACATTAGAATTCATACAAATGAATAATAAAACATTTTAGAATAAGAACTTCTTCTGTTCACCAAAAAGTTAGTTATATCTTGTGGGATGGGCTTCAGTTCCAAACCTAATCTCGGAGGCATCTCAACCATTCCAAGTATTTGCTAATTAACTGAGCTGGTGGCGAAATTAAATTGGTTAATTTGATGACGTACTGATTAGCCAAACAAGGTGTGCTAGTGGTTGAGTCAACGAGTATATTGGCTGGTTACTGCAAGTACTGGAGTGAATTTCAGAATGGTTTTGAAATGACCGACACACTGTGATACAAAACCATCATTTCACACCAACATGATCATTTAAATATAAATTTCATTGTCAGAATTTTGCACTATATTGTATGTTCAGCCCACATGGGTGACCAAGTGTGAATGAATGTGAAGGGTGAGTGTGTGTGCCCTGCGATGGGTTCGCACCCCATCCTGGGTTATTCCCCGCCTTGCACCGTATTGTTCGGGATCAGCTCTAGACCTCCACAATCCTTCATTGGACAAGTGGGCGCAGGAACGGCATGGATGGATGACCAGATCTCATATTAATGCGCGATTCCCATATGGGAATGCCGGACTTTCCCTGGGCGATACTGGATCTGAAGGCAACACGAGCCTGCAGGAGACAGAATGATGCGACAGTACCGGGACGAAAAACCGATCCACGCTCACGCACCTCAAAAAATGAAGTTCTGCTTAACAACCCCCCCCCCCCGACTCATTGTCCTCCCCCCAAGAGAGAAAAGGAGACTCCATCTGAAAGCACTGGGTGTGACAGAAGTGAGAGCCCAGCAAAGAGTGAGGAAGGAAACTACGGTCGACCACACACTCTCGCTTACCTCAGGACTCTCGTCGGTGGGGAAAATATCCATTCAAATCTACTTTCCTCCTCTTGAGACAATATCTTCCTGTTTAACAGATGTACAAGTGAGCGAGCTTGTACAATTTCCGCCACTGCACAGTCATCGAAACAGCGCTGCTTCTCCCTCCAGAAATACATAAATTACCACCTGCTAAATTCAAACAATCAGCAGCTAAATCTGAAAAAAATTTAGATCCGGGGGAAAGATGTGTCAAACGGTTCAATTCTCGGCAAACGCACACCGTCACGTTGCTGCAAACGGCTGAGAAACACGTAGTACATCCTATGCACCGAGGATCATTTCAGTTACACATGGAAGAACGAGTTTAGTCACTTACAATCTGTTACACCACATTTACACACTGAAAAAGAGCCTCTCACATGCTGACACAGTCGGGACCGAGCGCTGAAGTTTGACACGCGCTGTCACACACGGGTACAGCTGAGAAAGTTTCACCAGAGTCATTTTTAAACAAGATGCCGCCTTCTACCTCTAACAACCCTGAGCGGAATACAGACAACAATCACGTCAAGTTAATTTACACACACATGCGGCCGTACGCAAATACACTCACCCAGGACCTGTGATTCGACTGGTCACCAAAGTCTGATTGCAGTCCGGAAAACAAACAAATCAGCTGTAAGGTATTCCTCACGTACAGTGGCAGCACGAGCACACGTGTGTGTGTGTGTGTGTGTGTGTGTGTGTGCATGCACCAGCATTCAGGAGAATGTGTGCGGCAGAGCCTCAGGCTGAAAGAGCAGGACACACACACACTCCTTCTCTCCGAGAACATCCGCTTCCTCATTCTACCCGGAAATCACGTGAAGCTCAGTGGTGTCAAACACCACTCATTACCGCAGAGTGAGCGAGTGGCCTTTTCGAGGTGGAAACCACAGCGGGCTGAACGAGGCCCAGAAGACCAGGGGGGCCCAATGGACCGGCATCACGCAGAGACGGGGGCCGGCGGTGAAAGACACCCACCACTGATACTAATTCATTGCTGGCACTTTACAGTTCAGCACCATGTCCTACCTGTATGACATATTTTGTAGAGTGCTTGTATATTGTATGGTCCATCCATCCATGCATTTATTTTCTGATTTTCTGTACCCATTTATCCAATGCAGGGCCGCAGGGGTGTGGAGCCTATGCAGGAAGCTACAGGTGCAAGGCAGGGAATAACCCGGGATGGGGCACCAACTCAGCACAGCATAGTGCAGGAGTGGGCAATTTGACCCACAAAGGGCCGCTGTGTATGCGGGTTCTTACTGCAGCTCCCTAATTAGATTACCGATTAGAGGGCTGATTGGCTGAAGAGTCCTCACACCTGGGTTTGAACAGCTGACCTACAAGTTATCCCAAAAACCTGCATACACACCGGCCCTTTGTGGATAAGATTGCTCATCCTGCTATAACTGTACGATTGTGTTCATTATTCTGTTATTTGATATTTATTCCTCATCGCTATACGAGGTACACTGCACGAGGTATGCAAACCAGTACTTGAACAAATGGAAATAAAAGCCTCTGAATCCTTGACTGTAGGAAGAATGTCACAGCTGAGGGGGTCGTTTATCAAGATTAACCTAAACAAAGCACCGGATCTGGATAATAACACTGAGGAAAAAACAGACAACAACAATAATAATGCCATTTGCATTTTTCACATTAATATCCCCATAATGTGCATCCTCCTTTTATCTGTGTCATGGAGCTCAACGCAAATATGAACATTTGCATTTAAATATTCTTCACAGCAGCATGGAGGCAGACAATATAAGGCTCATAATTAGTATACAGATGGAACCGAGTTTACAGGAAACACACATAGGCCCCATTTAAAAGGAGCGGGGTGTCAAATGTGCCATCTGCCTGACACCAACGTGGCTAAATTAATTAATGTAAACGGTGACAATTATCCAGGCATTACTTAGCATTCTCATTTCACCATTTCCGATACATTGTACAAGATGCACAGACATCTGCGTGTGGAATTCACCCAGATGGGCCCGGCCAGACACTCGTACCCGGAGCCAAAGGGCGATCCGAGTCGTACCCGACCAGGAAGGGCCAGATGAGGAGAGAAAGGCGGCAGAGACACATCCACACACACACACACACACACACACACACACACGTACCCTGATGCCTTTTCCAGGGCTGAGACCAGCCAGTGACAGGTGGTTGGTGTTTTGGCTGAAGGTTCCTGCTTGCATGGGACTCGCCTGAAACGATCAGAGGAGGTCTGTAAAACCCCGGCAGTAACTGCGGCTTCCCCATAGGCTCCCGTTCTTGTCTCTCGCTCGCCCACGTTGCCAACGGCGACAAAAACACAGGGTTGCTGTTACCTGGCTGCGGCCTCGCCGGGGTGGCTTCCAGGAACGCTCACCACTCACACTGTTGACGTAGAAGCAGCGACCAGAAGCTGGATCCAGGTACTGCTCCCACATGTCCAGCACGTGCAGGGGGCGCTGGTCCAGGGCCGGGCTGGGGGGTCCCGGCTGATGCTTCACACCCTGCTGGTTACTATAGGACAGCGATTCCTGGGGGATGTGGCACGGTCCAGCTGGCTGTGGAGTCAGAGCAATGCCATTAGGAGACCCGGAGACACCCCCAGGAACCATGCAGGTACAGACCAACATCTATGTCCCTCAGAAATCACCTCGACCTGGACCACCGCTCACTGGGATCTACATCAGCCTCTGAGAAAACCTCCCCAATTTTAAGTTAATCTGTAATCCTATTACAACTTCAAGGTTTTCCTGTAGTTCGTTTATAGCTTGCTGTAGATTAAGGGCACCACATCAAAACAGTGAATTCAGTAAAAGTGAGGGGGGTTTGCAGAGTGTACATGGGCAAGAGGCACAGGGAAACAGGAAGTCAGCGAAAGACTGAGTATGAATTAGGTTGAGCCCCAACCTAACCATGCAAACAGCCAAGTCGTGCAGTTTGGAATAAAATACATTTATGCTACTATAAGATTAGGGAAGCACATAATTAACCATAAGATGTGCATGTGTAAGTTGCACGCGAGGAAAACACGTGTTTTCCTAAACGAACGATGTCCGGCGTTTATATGGGTGTATCGGATACTTAGAGGGTACTAAAGGTGCCTTTGTTACCATCGTTTTAACCAGACTAAATTACATTAACTGTGTGCTGACTGAGCGGCCCAGGAGATCACCAAGCCGCCAGAGATCTGCGTCAAAACCCCGCGCGACCCTCTCAAATTCTCCATACAATCTGTCTGACCAGCTTTCTAAAACGACACTCCTACGTTAAATTACGTTTTAACTGTATCAAAATAATTTTTGGCTCATAATCGTTAACTATGTAGATGCAAAGAGTTCAAATAGTTGAAAAGATGCAATTTTTTCTTTATAGTTTGAAAACTAATTGCCATGTCCTGAAATGCATCATGGACTAAAAAACGCTGGTTAGATTTCCCACGAATACCACACCAGCATTGATAATGCATGCTCAGGTCAGTAAACACACGCGAAAATCCCCCTTCGCCTCATTTTACGACGGCGGCACCGTTCGGCTGTGCTTCAGATAGCCACCAGAGGGCAGCATAAACAAATCCCTCAGTAATATCTCCAGCTTTTCGTAAGGTTACAAACATTACAGCTAAAATGCCTTTAACGTCCTCGAAACCTTTATTCAACGGCTTTTAACGCACGCCCCCGGTTTGCCCGCCTCTTTCTTATGAGATGCAGCTGTGCAATATAGGAACGTTACCTACGAGGCTTCAAGAGGAAATGGTGGTGGGTTCGTTGTATTTTGTACTACATGCTTTCCGGCTTGGTTGGACTGCATTTGTCAGTTCCTCTCTCACCGCAAAGCTGCCTGCACATTCATCTTCACCCCCAGAGCCTCTAAAACTGTGCTTTTTTTTTATTATTTTTTTACGCAGGCTGCAAATATGACGAGGTTCCTTAAATTAGGAGCTTAATTTGGAAGGGATTATGGGTGTGCACACGAGGGCTTGAGTCACGATGTTCCAGCTGTAAAATCAGCAGTATTAAGTTCAGCAGAAAACATCTAAAAATAAGATCCTGCAAAAATAAAATCAAGACAAGTGCAGCTGAACGTTTAACTGTCATTAGCCGTTAGTGGCGGATTCCAGGCAGGAACTTTTAAACAAAAAATAGACGGCGATGAGGAGCATCCACCCTCATCGTAGCTGAGTCCTAGCAAGATCGAAGCACACACCACCTTGTGGGACAGGAGCTTCTGACCCGAATGTGGCTCTAATCCCCTCTTACCATGCTTAGGGATGGGGTGGGGGGGGTTTATTGGTGGAGCCGTGAATCCATTAAGAAAGCGGGGGCTGTGTTGTTCTGCAGCACATGACCAGGCACCTGATGGCCAACCCCCCCCCTCACTGGCCGCACTGCGCTTGTGCACCCATCCCCACCTGTTCCCCGAGGTGCTGGATCCGTGATGAGACCTCAGTACCACAGTCGCATTTGAAGCTACAGCCAGCCGACGAAGCTGCAACGTCCCCGTCCCCAAATGTAAACCACTCCACGCAGCACACGCCTCGATGGAAGGATGATTGTCGGTTCTAATCCCAGCCACAGCAAAGTAGGCACATAACCCCCCAGAAATTCGAGAGGGGCACCAGATAAAAGGTTGACGCTGTGTGTGTGTGTGTGTCTGTGAGAGAGAGAGTGAGACATGATCAGACTTGCCAAAAGATGCACTCCAATGTACCTGTACTTGCAAATGGCAAATAAAGCATCCATTTCATTTTGGTTTTTTTTCATTTTAATAGCACCAGGGAGTGTGAGTCAGATCCCTCTCCTACAACCTGAATACCTACTAACTTAGAAGAATGAAGAGCAGAACTCTCTCCCCCCCCAGCTGACCCCGTGTAGCTGAAGGGCCCACGAGCCTCCCAGGCGCTCACCTGTGTGCAGGCCCGGCTCGCCATGTCCCACTGGCTGTAGAATTTGGTGGGTCTGGAGCAGGGCGAGCTCCTGGCGGCCATTCCGGGGCCCTGCTTGTAGGGGTTCTGGGGCAGGTTGCTGGAGCTCTTGCTGCGGGGCATGGCGGCAGCACATGCCAGCCCGCGGGGGACCAGCAGGTGGCCCGTCGAGGAGCTGGCGGGGTTGCCGGGTCGGGGGAGGGGCAGCGTTGTGTAGCGCTCGTCCCCCAGGTTGGGCCCCGCCTCAGGGAGCCTGTAGGCACTACTGGAGTTCAGGTCCTCCATAGACCGACAGAAGGTTTTGATCACAGTTTTAAAGGTCCCTGTGTATGGGGGGGGGG